TGGGCGGCCCCTGAACGCCATGATGACGCCATACGTCACGGTGGGCGGAAGTTACGATCGCTGTTTTGAAATCAGGCCGCGGGGGTCCTACAAGCTCCTGCCCTCGCGGAGGCAGGCAGCTTCTCTACGCCGGGCGGACCCCTGACGACTACGCTGCGGCCCTACGGGCCTAAGGCCGCAGCCACGCCATGTCCACCCCTCCTTTGGCGGCAGCGGGGATGGCTCCCGGGCCCTTCGCCGGTCCCCAGGCTCAGCAGGCCGCCCGTGAGGTCAACACGGCATCGCTGTGCCGGATCGGGCAGGAGACGGTCCAGGACATCGTGTACCGCACCATGGAGATCTTCCAGCTCCTGAGGAACATGCAGGTGGGAAGCGGCTCCTGGGCGTCCGTGGAGAACCCTGGGTGTTTCTGCGAGGCGAAAGGGGCGCTAGTTTAGTCGTTATATCGGGGTCCCTGAGCGTCAACCGCGCTGCCCAGGGCAAATCTCAAACGTAGAGTAACCTCCATTTACGTTCTGACGTGGTCCCCAACGATGTGTCTGTCCTCAAAAGTCTGCAATGTAAAGGCGATATTTTCCAGACCGGATCTCTCGAAGACTGAAGCCACGTTTTCAAGATTCCACTGGGATCTCTAGTTACTAGGCAAACCCTTGCACCTTTGACGGTAAAGGTGGGTCTTACTCAGCTACCCTCATTAGATTACTTTTATCTTTTTTACAGCAAAATAGTTTCTGAGGGTCCAAGGAGTTGAAAAATTTAGATTCTGCTCACCAATTTTGTTAAACTGTTTTAAATGCACTTAAAGTTTTGACATATGTATTTACTTGTGAAACCAGCATCCATCACCCCAAAAAGTTTCCTCATGCCTAGGATTGTAATTGCTGGGTCTTATGATAAATGTCTGTTTAGCATTGCAATAGAATTTTTTCAAGGTGGGGCACCATTTCACATTCCCATTATCAGTGTTTTGGTTATTCCTCCATGTCCGCCAGCACTTGTTATTGTTTGTCTTTCTGCTTTGCAAATATTTTTTCCCAGTCTGTGGCTTGTCTTTTCATTCTTTTCATATTGCCTTTTGAAGAACAGACATTTTAAATTTTGACAGAATTTATCATTTTGTTCTTTTATAAAGATTTTGCTTTTGATTTCATACCTAAGAAATCTCTGTCTAACCCAACATGACAAAGATTTTCTCCTAGTTTCTTCTGGAAGTTTTACAGTTTCAGGTTTTATATTTAGGTCTATGATCCACATTGAGTTAATTTTTTAATGTAATAATAGGTGTGGACCCAGGTGCATTTATTTTTTCATTTGGATTGGACAACTGTCCAGTTGTTCCAGCACCATTTTGCCAACCCATTTTTGTTTGACTATCTTACTAGTAAGACGTGGATATCATTTTTGTTTTATGTATGAGGATTCTGTGGTTCAGAGAGGTGAGGTGACTTGTCCTAAGCTAGTCATCAGTAAATTTGAAACCAGGCATTCACACTCTTACAACTCTTATTTCAGTGGGTGCACTAAAGAGTGTTTTCTTGCCTTTCTTTTAAGTGGTTAAGATTTTTTTCTCCTTATTATATAAGTAACTCAGTTGTATGGAAATCTTTTCAGACCATGTCACTATGCCACTGTAAAACACAACACAGAGTCCAGAAGAAGATAGGAAATCTTTGGCAATTATTTAAAAACTTAATAGATTATTATCTAAAATGATTAACATATAGATTAAGTAATTTCCCAGAATTTAGCAAATAACTATTTTTAATCTGCTGTATTCAAAGTATTGAATTAGGACTAGTAGAGCTAATAGCTAACGTTTATCAGGTACTTTTCTTGGTCAGGTACATGGTTGTAAGAACAGTTCTATAAAGTATTTTTATTCCCATTTTATAGTTAAAGAAACTGAGGCTAATTAGAGAAGAATTTACCCAAAATCACACATGATTAGTAGCTGTTCCTACTATCCTTTTAATAATACTAACTTGCTGACAATCTGTATTATTAACAGAAATGTAATACACATCCATGACCTACACCATAAGAACTAAACTCTGAAAAAATATTATCAGTAACTAGGTTACATGTGTACATATATTCAAAACAAATTTTAAGGGTCTGTGATAGCTTTTCTTTGTGCCTGCTATATTGTGAAATCTGTGGTTGAACTTAAATCTAAGACTGGTTGAACTCATCTAAGATCCTTTGGGCATATCATAATCGACTGAAAAAGCAGCAGTAATATGCTCCTTCATTTCCAAAAAGCTGAACACATAACAGGCTACATATAATCTAGTTATTTATTAATACATTTTTTAAAAAAGTATTGAAATTTTTTAAATTATCTTCTGTATTACTAATCTAGAAGGATGACGTACCATAAATACAAACTGCTAAGATTATTTCTAAGTGTCAGTTTTAGAGAAGTAGATATTTATTAGTTGCTTTAGCCTCTTGAGAGAATCTATTGGAAACTATGGACTCTTAGCAGAAAAATGCATATATATACATTTTGGATCCACACAAGGATCACCAGATACAGGTTAAGTAAGACCCTGCATAAGAAAGTATTGCTTTGGTTCTATTTGTTGTCCTTTAAATCTTTAAAAAAATTTTTTGACATAACACATTCAGAATTCAGAACTAAAAAAAGGACATTACAGTGGACATTCTCCCTCTCGTCCCTATCTGCTAACTCCTTTCCACAGGCAAGGATTGTTAATGATTTTTATTATTATTCTTGTGTATCATTCCATATATTCTATGCATATGTAAACATATGTGTACATATTTATTATTTATCCCCTTTTTGAATAGATAATAATATATTATACACAACATTTTGCATCTGGCTTTTTTCATTTGGTATATTTTGGAGTTTATTCATATCTGTACAGAAGGTAATTCCTTTTTCTTTTAAGGTGTATAGTAATCCACTGCATGGAAATACTGTAATTTATTTAACCAGTTCTCTAGTGAAGGGCTTTTAGCCTCTCACTATATGCTGCAGTACATAACCTTCTACACAAGGATACCTGTAGGATAAATTCTTAAATGGCTTTGTGCTTCTTTAATTAAATGTATTTGGATAAATTACCCTCCATGGGGGTTGTAGCAGCTTTCTGCTACTATGTCCTGACCAAGGCCAACAACTAGACTCCAAACATACCAAGTTTTATTTTAGGATCTTTGATCATTTGATAGGTGAAGGTCTACTTTACGTTTCTCCTAGTGTGAATAAGTTTGAGCATCTCTTCATATATTTATGTCATTTATATTTCCTTTTCTGATGCTTGTTAATTTGCCCACTTTCTTCTCCCAGTTTATAAAATTTGGCTATTTACATAATAGAAAAATTTGTTTGATGTGCTATCAGTTGCAAGTATTCTTCTCCCAGTCTATTGTTTAACTTTTGGCTGTGCTTATGGAAGTTTTGCTTTACATGTTTTTGTTTTTGTTTTTTTGATAGTTTAATTTCTCAGTCTTAGGGCTTTTGGGCTGTCTGTCTAGTTAGGAAGGCTTTCCCCACTCCAAAATCAGGAAGAATTTTGTTTTTTGTTTCAATTTTTATATTTAAAATTTTCATGTATATGGACTTTATCCTAGATAAAGTGTGAGGTAGGGCCCTGGCCTTACTTTTTTCTGAAAGGTTATTTGAATAATTCATTTTCCTCCCCTGCTGATTTCAGATGCTACTTTATTCAAATGGCTCTACCTCTGGGTGCTCTATTCCACTTTACTGCCTGTCTTACCTAGTAATGCCAAACTTTCGTTTATTTATTGAGGCTCTATAATGTGTTTACACTTATTTTTTCAAAATTGCCCTGGCTATTCTTATTTTTCCACATATATTTCAGAATCAGTTTGATCAATTTTGAGCATTTTTATTAGTTGATTTAACCTGGAGAGATTTACATCAGTAGGATGTGGAGTGTTACTAACCAAGAACATGGAATATCCTTTTCTTTGTTCCTATGAATTATTTTTTTAAGTTTTTATCTTGATTGTTGCTATGGTAAATGAGATCTTCCTCCTCTCTTATTTTGTTTGCTTTATTTACTGAGAGTTCTTTTACATGACATCCTTCTTAGTGAATTTTAAGTATAGATTTACAGATAAAATAACCCATTGAAGTAAAATAATTCAGACTGTACTTTAAAACCTTCTGTGTGAGTGCGTGATACTAAATATAGGGATATAAATGTGAATGACCTCCAGTCTTCATTAAGTAGAAAGTATGGGCAAAGTATTAAACCTAGTAAATGTCATAATCAAGGTCCTTAGTGCTTCTACATGCAAGATGTAATCAAAGTATTCATTACCCAAAAAGGAAAACAGGGATCCTTTGAGACTTTTCTCTGATTTGTTAGTGTTTGCAAGTTCATAAATTGAAAGTTCATGAGAAATCCTACATTGTATTGGGGGGATGAGGGGATGAACTCAAAATGCCTTTTTCCTTTAAACTGTTTTGACTAAATCAGCCTTTCGTATTTTATCATGTTTCTCTGAGGTATCCTGAGAATGTTTTAATGCTTGAGAATTTTTCTGGAAATCCTAATAACTCACTTCAAACAATTTCAGAATATTCATCTCCTTAATTTATAAACTATAACATTACAAGAAATTTGGAAATGAGACAAAAGAAGAAATAAATTTTTCAAACTTATCTCCCTATTATATCTTTTATCGACTATATATAGGCTTTTCCAGTATTTTTTGCATGCTTATGATTTTATCTACTTGTAGTAATAGTGTGTCCTGTTTTCTTCTTTCTCCAAACATATCACACAGTTTTTTTCTACAACCTTCCTCATCTATTTAGAAAAGAAAAAAGAGTGAACTGATGCTTAGAAAGACTGGAATGATCTTCTAGCTCTTAGACAATAGTTAGTATCTTGGTTTTAAGTCACTTTAATCCCCCAAATAAGCATATTGGTAAGTACTTAAAAGGAAAGCACTACATATACTACAAAACATGGTACAAATGTTAATTCTGATACAAGGATAGTTTCACAGATCAAATTGTGGGAAAGAAATACTGTGAGATGTACAGAGAAATGAAGATTTGTTCATGAGTTTCAGCAATGCACAGAAGGTACAGTTATAAATTCTAAATGAGTAATAGTTGCTGTTTATCTGTGATTTTATCATTTCATTATATACTTTTGGTTTCTGAGGGTAAAATTCTGAATTAAAAATATAAATGCATCCAAGACAGAATTATGATCATAGAAGTCCCTTAAAACAATTCATTAACGATGTTCAAGTACCGATTGATTTGCACCTGTATCTCCTGCTGCTGATTTCTTTTTAGAGTGAAACTCTTGGTGATAGCTTTATGTTTTAATGAATACCTTGTGCTTAATTATCTCATCGTAGTTAAGGAATTTTGAGATTATTTTTACAGCAGCAGCTGTTACTATTCCTTTTCTTCTGAAAGTCCTATCTTGACTTTTTCTTTTCTTTGTTTTCTGTTTTTAATTTCCAGGTTGAGTTCAGCAGCTTGCTGCCTTTATATAATAACCAGTAATTTTAAAGTTGTGCATTCTTTTTAAAGATATAATATACTTCAAAAATTAGAGGGGATAAGGCTTTCAACTGGTCAGGGAGGCATATCATGAAGTTTTTTCCTAGGGCTGTTTTACAGCACTCAGACAGTATGCCAGGAGCTAATAAATGAGCATATATTACTCTTAAAATCTTAAAATTATACTTACTTATAGAGAACAGTTTGCTTTTATGGAGTGCTTAAAAACTGTTTCTGTTTGCTAGCTTTACTGACAGAAAAATCTTGATCTTCATTACTTTGTATTATTTTGTTTTACCTGATAAGCTGCCAAATGGTGTCACTTACCATACTGGAACATATCAAGACCGGTTAGCAAAGCTACAGGATCATCTTCGCCAACTTTCTATTCTCTTCAGGAAGCTGAGATTGGTCTATGACAAATGCAATGAGAACTGTGGAGGGATGGATCCCATTCCAGCAGAGGCAAGTCTTAGAAGTAGAGGACAGATAAATATAAGATATAAGAGAGTCCATGACTTGTGTTATTTTTTCCTTTCTCCCTTTCTCCTATTTTCACAGTATTTCCAGTTTTTGAATTACATCAGTGTTACTTTTGACTAGAGAAGATGAAAATACAGTACATATGCATATGATTAGTATTATCTTTATGTCAATAATTTCTTGTAGACTTTAACATCCAGTGAATTTATGTTGTTGGGAGGAAAGGATTATCTTTGATAATTTAATTAAATCAGTGCATTTTTTAAGCACAAGTTTGAATAATGTTGTAAAATACTTTTAAAATAGTTTTCATATAAGTTCTTTACAGATAAAAAGTTATGTTTTCATCATTATTTATTTAGATTAGCTTATTGGAATCATTCTAGTTTTAAAATGTATTCTTTAGATTTAATTGTGGGTCATAGATATGTGTTAGTTAACTAGGCATTTGACACTCTTGTCACTCCAGCAACTTATTCCGTATGTTGAAGAAGATGGCTCAAAGAATGACGACTGGGCCGGCCCACCTCGTTTTGCTAGTGAAGAAAGGCGAGAAATTGCTGAAGTAAATAAAGTAAGTTACTTGTCTGTATATTCTGTATTTCAGAATTATTGATACAAATTACAATGGAGTCTGCGTAACTCAAAACAATCATTTGAATTATAGAATGACATGAGGTTGTTTCTGTGGCTTATTTAACATAGAACCACCTCGTACAACCAAGAACTAAAACATAAGCAGAAATGCCATTTGAATAGTCAGAATAAAGATCTCAGAATTCAAGCAGTAAAGCTCTTAGGAAAAATTCATAGGCTCTCAGTCATAACCCATTTACTTTTTTTCTTTTCTAGGCAAAATTCTAGCTTCCTAGCTTATGCATTTGGAGCAGCAAATGATAAAAATTTAGAAAACAGAAATGTGAATGTCTCAACACCTGAATAAGAAATTGAGTTATCAAAGCATTACCCTACCTCGAAAAAGTCCCCAACTTGAATGTATTTATTGCCAAATATGTTCAGAAGTTCAGAAGATAATGTTCAAATCGTTCTTTTGAAACAGATAAATAGGGACAGTTGTCAGTTCATTCTGTGGTGGAATCATGGTGCAGGCTTACCAAAACCTAGGAAATAGCACAATAAATAAAACTACCACTCTTTCAGTTACAAATAGACACCCCCACTCCCTGCCCTGCTCCTAAAATTCTTAATTCCAGTTAAAAGAATTCATCAGGGTATTAATAGTTCACCTGCCACAGCCAAAGAGGGTTTTCTGAGGTATTTGAGGATAATTCAGTTTACATATATATGCAGCTTCAACAGATTAAATTGGAAGAAAAGTTTTTCTCGGATCTAAAAGACATTTGGTGGAATTCATGTTGCTGATTCAAAGAATACTTAAAACCATTAACAAGATAGTCTTTTCTTTTTAATTTCAGATAAATAGCCACCATTTTTCGTACAGGTGAAATACAGAAGTAGTCCTGTTAAAAACAGGCATAAAATAAGATGCCTTACACCACTATGTTTAATGTTGTAAGTTATAGCCAGTACAAAAAGAAACAGAAATAAACTTTAAGAAGCAGGGTTATAATATTATACATAAGTTTGTTAAGTTTGTTAATCTTATATATGTTATAACTGATTCTATACCAGTTCATTATAATGTTTACTAATATTACAACTGAAGCTTGTTATAACTTTATTATGTTATACTGTTGTTAATATAACTGCAGCTTGATTAACAACTAGAGTCAAGAGTTTGATAAAAGGGCTTAATATAAAATCAATATCATTTTCTTAATAATGCTATGTCAATTAGATTGTAAGATCCTTTTCACTAATCACAACAAGTATTAGGAATTATCTCAATGATGTATGTGACTAAACTTATTAAGCTACATAATAAGTTTGACTAATTAAAAGGACGTATAAAGTTCTGTGGGCAATATTCTAAAAATATCAGTCTTGAATATTTCATAGTTTTAATGTAGTACCAATCCAAATCCAAGTATCAGTTGTCTTGAGGGAACACAAAAATAATATTGTAGTGCAATGCCAATCAAAAAACAAATCCAAATTAAGAGTTTTTTGAGAACATACTAAAATACCAACAAAATTCTTAGAAGAGTAATAAAACTGCTTCAAAAATTACATGAAGCATCTTATACAAACAATAATTATGAAATAATAGCACAAGAATAGATTTGTAAAAGAATAGCCAGAAAAAGTCTATTTTATCTGATTGTTTAATACGACATAGAGGGACTGTGTAAAAAATTAGTCTTTAAAAATAGAAACTTTGGGAGGAAATTAAGCTAGCTTTTATGTATACCATATGTCAAAATGAATTTCAGAGTTGAAAATAAGATCTGTAAAACAAAATATTGAAAAATTAAAAGAAAAAGTATATTATCAAAACTTGGGAGAAAGGAAAAAGATGGATATGTTTTATGAAATAAAAAATTTTAACTTTTTTTAGAAAAGTAAAAAGAAAAGTAGTCCCAGCAAATTTGTCAGTAATGAATGAGGTAAAGAACCTGTAGTAGGAAATTGGTAGCAGATGAGGAGGGGCTTGAGAAATTTTAATTTAGATGTTTAAAAAGAAACGGTGTTTGGTAGTCCAGGGACACAAGGCATTTATTTGTTCAGAAATGTTATATGTTTCTGTTAATAGCCCACGTATTAATTCACAATAGCTTGTTCTATCATTTTTCTCTGTAATAAGGGTATTTTTTACTGAATACAATGAAATACATATATAAGTAGAACATTACTCTAATGAAAACTTTGATTTCAGAGTCCCACATGTGACATAAATATAGTTTGTTCTCTACCATAGAAGATTTTATGATTTTTTTTTAGGGGGTACACTATAAATTCAGAAAAATATAATTTTTCTAAATATATATTTCATTTCACTTTTCATTTCTCTAAATTCTTTTTTTTCCAATTTGATGGCTTAGAAATGTTATTTTTTAATTTTTTTAAACCCTTTCATATGATCAGAATTTAGTAGAACTTTGTCAGTGTGTAGTCAAAAAAATATCAGCTATTGAACTAGAACTTTGTGAATTTTAAATGATGTAATTGGTACAAAGTATATGATGTATAAAAGAATTTCTTTCTCCACATGAGGATTTAACTCTCTTCCAGTTTCTCTTTCTTCTAGTTTCCTTCCCCCAACCTTTCAATGCAGTTTTATCATATTTGGGGTTAAAAAATATTCAGCATGCATATTTTTATGGCACATAAATATTATTTATTGCTAAGCCACATAGTAAACTAGGGTTACATTTTCTTGGTTGAAAATTTTTTTTCCTAGAGTTAATTTGCGTACTTTTTAAAAAATCTGGATAATCTTTGTGAATTTGTACCAGCTTCTCAGTACTGTTTTCCAAGTTTCCACAGAATCAAAATTACCAATTATTGGTTCTTTCCCCCTGCAGAGTCTTCCTTCTTCTTGAGGTCTGGATTGAAGGCTCTTTATGCCTGCTGTTCATCCACTGTCCTGGGCTTTCCTCCACCTCTTCTGTTGGCTTCACTATTTCCTCAGTCTGGCTTCCTCTTTCTTACTCCATCATTGCTAAGGTACATACATCAGTGGCTTCTTCAGAAGGAATACAGGGACTTAAGTTTTTATACTTCACATAGCTGTCCAGTTGATAGTTTGGCTGGTTATAAAATTCTATGTTGTAAATTCATTTCCTTCAGAAATTTGTAAGTATTTTTCCATAATCTTCTCATATAGAGTTTGGCAAACTTTAAAGGGCTAGATAGTAAATATTTTAGGCTTTTTAGGACACATATGGTCTTAGTTGCCATGTAAAAAACATCCTTAGTTCATGGGCCTTACAAAAATAGGTCATGTGCCATAGTTTGCCAACTCCTATCTTTTTTGTTTTGTTGTCTTGCCAGATAGAGACTCTCAAAGATCTGGTGAGCATCTGATGCTTAAACATGAACCATCTGTAGTTAAGAGTAGGGCACCAGAGAGCTAATCAGAGGCTTTGTGAGTTTGCTTCATCATAACAAGATTGGGAAACAAGTTTGCTTTTTTACTTTGGGGGTCTTCTCAGCTATCATTTTCTAAGGTTTTCTTCTTTAGTGTTATTCATTTCCTTCAGAGAAGAATATTCCAGTGCCCTAATATTCTTTCTTCTTGCCTTCTGCTCTGCTGATGGCACTGAATCTACAGCTGTTCTGGTTTAGTTTCACAGGAAATAAATCTGTTCTCTGAGAGGTGGGGCAGGGCACAGGGAAAGGGTCCTGTCACTTGTTCATGAGGAGTGGGAGTGACCGCCTAGGGTTCTTGGTGGGTTCTGTTGCTCTTGATGCTGTCCCTTCAGTTTTCATCCCCAGGCCACACCTGGTGCTTTTGAGACTGTATCTGTCTCCAGTCTCCATGCAGGATCAGTGCTGTTCTCAGGAGCATCCTTCCTGCATCTTCCTGGGTTGTAGTTTCCTCCCAAGTCATTTACCTCTCCCCTTCTATACTTAATCTTAAAATTTATACTTTGCATCTACTGTTGTCATCTTTCTCACCATTTTTCTCCACATGAGTTTATAAATTTTTTATTTCTCTCCTGCCATTTTATTAGGGCTTTGAGAAAAAGAACAGATAAGCAAATGTATTTATTCCATAGTGTTCTTCTGCAATAGGTTTATTTCAGTACACAGAATAGATACATAGTATTTTTGAAGGTTTATTTGCTTATGGAATAAAGGCCTATAGTTCAGACTTTGTGTTCCCATTCATCCTTAAGGTATTTGAGAACTCTTCCTTTGATTAAATCATTTGAATCTGTTGAAATTGCTGTTATAAGTGCTTCTAACTTTGGGGTAACACTTGTCTTAGTTAACATGATATTGAACTGAAAGATTTTACAAAGAAAAAATAATCTGTTCAGATGTTTTAAATTAAACAGGTTTAAGAGCTTAGCCCTATATTTTTATGAAAGTTATATTTTAAAAGAGAATTCAGAGGGAACGTATCTTCTCTTGAGTGGCATGTAAGTACTCATTTAATGGCCTCATAGCACTCTCTTCCTGGGAACTGTTACTCTATTTTGAAACAAGACTAGAGAATTAGATGGTAAAAAAAAAGGGGGGGTGGATAAGATTTGGCTCAAATTGAAATTCCCAAAAAAACGAATGCAGAAGAGAATAGTTAAAAACTAAGCAAAGTGGATTTTTGACCCAAAAAGGTTTTTAACTCATTACTTAAATAAAACATCATAAATGTGAATTGAATTTAATTCTGACTAAATATGAATTGACATTATCCTGACTGATGAAGTGCTTCTACTATATTTTATTATTTTCCTCCATTTATTAAAATTTTGTATCTACCTTCTAGGATATAAGATTAAAATATGTAATTGAACATTTTTAAAACAGAGTAAGCTCATGGCCAACTGATATATTTTTCTGCCTTAATGGAACACACACTTGAGAGTGTTTCTGTGAAAACTGTGTTTATTTTAAATAGCCATCTAAACAGATGGTAAAATGTTGCTCTAATTATGTAATCACATAGATACTATTAAAAAATAGTTTAAATTCACCGATTTGATTTAGTTTTTCAACTACTTATAAATATCTATTCATAAACATATTTTTATATTCCTTTTGTCTACTACTTTAATAGTTCTTTCCTGTTAGGCAAATTTTAAAAAAATTAATAGTTGCTAGATGATGGTAGTTTTAAGGTTCACAGCAAGCTAAATAAAGCATACCAAAGTAATTTTGTATAGAAAATTAAAATGATTTTAATAACAGCTATGTCTTTTTTTTTTAATACCAACATATTTAACTGGAAAACAAAAAAAGGACAAGCTTCAAAATGATTGCTAGGCAGTTTTTTTTTCCTTTGTTTTTCTCTCCTAGCAATTCAAGAAACTTTCTGCCTTGGCTTTTTAATTTTTCATTTGAATATTAAAATACTGAGGTATATGGGTACCTGCTCTGTGCCAGGCATTGCTCTTAAGTGCAGGGGTGACTGCTGTGAATCAGTCAGATACAGTGTCTGCCACCATGCACATTTTTACATAAGTAGACGGTTTCTTTTCTGAGGACGTAAGTCTCTAAGGGAAACAAAACAGCACACATTTCATGTTTTGGTAGATTATTTACAGAAACAAAAATTTGGACCATATTTTTAATACACTGGTTTTTGCTTGTATTAAATAAGTTTCATTATAGGCCTTGTGTAATCAGTAATAAAATTATATTATTGAGGTTTGATTAAGAATACTCAGAATTTTATTACAATGTGTATTTTCTTTTTATTCCTAATAAGCTACATAAAATAAGTGGCTTAATATACCCTTTGATGACCCTCACTCAGTCTTTTTCAACATATTATTGTTTTGGTACTTGAAATTATACAAATGACATTGACAGTGTGCTTACTATTTAGTCTACATGGCCTGTCTGTTTCTAATAACATATGTGTACCTCCAATGCCTATTATAGTGCCATGAAACTTTGGGGCACAAAATTTGTAATCAATATTTGATGTAAATCAGATTGGCCTAGTTTCAGGAATCAGATTTTTGGCTTATTTAAATACTTTACTTTTTTTCTTAATATATTCTGAATCCATAAACCCTACTAACCAAAATAAAGGATGAACATGTGTTTGAGACTATAATTTTAAGGATCAAAATGAGTTCTATTTTGCTTAAAACTATTCCATTTATTGTAAAATGAAATCAAAAGAGTGTGGGTATATTTGCAGAGTTGACATGTAACTGAATCCATGCATTTAGAAACTAGATAATTTTTGACCAATGGTCACAGCCTCTGTATATTATTAAGTTACATGATACGACTTAGCATAAACATATTTTTTTAAGTATCTGTTCTACTTACACCTTCACCTGTTAATGTAACAAATTTGGCACAGCTGATGGATTTTGATAATAGCAGCTGTCAACCACTGTTAAAATCAATCACTGGCAAGACTGTATATATTAAATCCTGTATCATGTCATGAAAATTTATAGTTTAACAACTAATAGGCCTGTCAGCTTTGCTTTTGATAGTTTCATGTTTGGCTCTAGGTATTAACTTGTGTGCTAATTTTTTAAAATTTAAAACTTAATGGCATCTTTGAGAGAAACTATTCAAGTGCCCTATATCATACTTTAAAAAATTTGCTATTCTCTAGAGTTGACTATTACCTTGAAAATATCCTACATTTTTTGTTCTCTTTTTAAGAATTAATAAGGTTATTTTTTTAAACATTTATATCAGAATTTATAGTTCCACATGAGTATTCTTCAAAAGCAGTTGTGTTAGAAAGCTATGCATTTATTTCAGTAATGCAAACATTGTGGGAACCATCTATAACCTCTGTTTTGATACTTACTTTGAAGTCTATTTTTAACTACCAAGAATTTAATTCTATTACTTCTAGTTACTTTACTTATACTGAAAATGTGGTCACTAGGCTTATTTTACCAGTCTTGGCTTTTGAGTGGTTTTCAGTTGTTTGTAAAGTTTAAATCCTTCCTCTTCCTTCTTTTCCATGGACATAGATTTGTCACCATTGAAATTATTTAGGAGAATCTATCCCACACACTTAATTAACCTTTTTCATTGCAATTAAATCATATTTATTCTCCTTTTTAATGGGTCCCCATTACCCACTACCAAATTTACCCTCCTCTTACTCTTTGCTCACCAGCAACTTACAAATCTCAAACAAAAATATTTCCTTTTCTATATTGACAATTTATGTTCTCTGCCTACCAGTAGCATTTGTTGAATGCTTGCTTATATGCCAGGCACAGTTCTAACACTATGTGAATTAAATCTTTAATCTTCATGACAACACTTTTGAGGTAGGTTCAGTTGCTATCCCCATTTTTCTGATGTGGAAACTGAGGCACAGAGAGGGTCAACAATTTGGCCAGCATCTTGTATTTAGTTAGTGAAGAGGCTGAGTATAAGCCCAGAGAATCTGGCTACAGAGGTTATGCTCTGCACCATTATGTTACATTAATTTTGAGAAAACCTATATAGTTAGGTTTAGTAACAATTAAATATTTAGCTCATTTTCCTTGATAGTGGAAGTAGAGGAGTAAAAAAGGTGGAGGCTGGAGCCATAGGATTCTGCAGGCTGAATGACAATTCAGTTTGCTTTTCAGTGAATATATGTGGCCAGAAAAGGATTGAAACCTTCTGCCTTAAGGACATATTTAGTGTAATTTCTGTCTGGATCATTAGAGCTCAAAGTTATGACATTTTAATCTTCTAACTTCATGGCCTATAATTCATGAAACATTTCTGATAAATTCTTTTGTTTCTACAGAAACTCAAACAGAAAAATCAACAGCTGAAGCAAATTATGGATCAATTACGAAATCTCATCTGGGATATAAATGCCATGTTGGCAATGAGGAACTAAAGTGATATTTAAATTTGCTGCGTTACACATGTTGAACAATTTTTTTTCTCTTAAATATTTTTCCCCTTTGAAGATTATTTATCTGCCTTTATTCTAGTCACTAGAATTAAAGTTCCTATTTTTAACATTGTGGTTTTGCTTTTAAGTGTTCATTGGCAGTTTTTTTAAAGCTGTTTTGTGAAAGATTACTGTAACAAGCTTTGATAGAGTTTGTATTTTGGTTAATATTCATGAATTGAACAATTGTTTTTTAAAAGCTAAATAATTAAGTTTTGGAAATAAATTTTTTAATTTGATCAATGGTTGTTATGCTTATTTCATTGTCCTCTGAGAAAAGGTAAACTTTTAAATATCTTTGCAGATGAAACTATCAAGTACAGTCAAGCTGTGGCACAATTAAACATGTAGGTTACCCTTTCAGCTCAAGTTTAAAATTTAGTTTGAGTCCCAAACAAGTTAAAATGAGAAAACAGTTCATTTGTATACTGCTGTAAATAGATGAAAATTACTTGTATCATGCCCTTCAAGCATTTGATCTTAATGGGAATGATCTATCTCTGAAAGAAAACAGTAACTTGAGGGTGGCACAAACAAGTCACAACTGTGCACTTGTTTGCTATGTGCTTTAGGCCAGGAAGCAGTGCCCATACGACTTCTCAGATGCACCCACAACTTAGGTCGAGTACATTTTGGACACGGTCCACCTTGAAGAGTCTTCAGTGAGCTCTAGTTCTGTGTGACCAGTTCTTCTGTAGACTGATAAGTCTGCAGCAAGTCCTTTATGGAGACTTCCTGCCTCAAGAGCTGGCCTCTCAGATTATAACTACATACCCTCAAATAAGATAGATTCCTCTCAGGAAGGACCTAGCCAGCGTGATCCAGAAACCCCTACCATGCGGCCTTGGTTTTGACTCAATGCTAAATACTGCTAGATGACTCCTCTGGTATAGGCATAAAACTCTGAAAGGGTACGCAAGAAACTGATAACCTGCTTCCTCTGGGGAGGGGACCTGGGTGGCTGAAGGTGAGGATAGAGAAGACGCTTACTTTTCATTGTACAATCTTTGGTACCTTTGGAATTTTATAGCATATACAAATATTGCCTATTTAAAAAATAGGTAAAGTTTCATTTTAGGTTACGCAGATTTCCACCTGTAACAAGTAGCAGATGGCGCAAGATGAGAAACCATGTCGGTGTTTTTAGACCATCTATTTGTTCATCAGAACAAGCCCAATGTTAGTCAGACAGGGAGTCGCCCCCGCCCACAGTGGGAAGCCCTGCAGTTACAGGCAGAAGGTAAGGGGATATGAAGCTATGATAGGGAGAAGAATTAGGACCAATAATTCAATCTACCCAGTAGTTTGTAGTATGAAGGGCACTATAGTTCATATACCTATCACCAATTGAACATGCAGGGTTTTTACAGGTGTTCATTACTATGTCCTTTGCACGATAGATTGCTGGTTACTATTTCAAATTTAGTGTTTTGGTGTTGACAACTTTTAAAGCAGTTATTTTAACTGAATGTTCTTTTTTGTTTTAATTACCATACTTAACTCCTTAGATTATTCAAGGAACCATAAATTCAGCTCTTAAAGGGAATGTGGAAATTCCATCTTTTGGGGCCTTAGTTCTATAGACAATCTCTACTGCGGAGCAATCATCAATGAAGTGGTACTCAGCTACAGAGCTGTAGCCCCAGGTTCTGGGAGCGTGTGTTTGTAGCCCTCAGAACTGATGCTGACCTATCCCCAGTCACTCACAAGTCTACTTGGGCCAATTCTGAATACGTTGGTGGCTATTAAACACACAGACCCCACTACCATACTTTCAGCTGTTTCTTGAGGGAAAGCACGCCAGTAAATGGAAGCCAGGAAGGCAACTCAGTCATGATGTGTGGCATTGGACAAGTTAATCTCTTGTTTTTTCTCTGAAAAATGAGTGGGATTAGATCTTTATTCTATGTTAGAAATTTAGTTGTAAATAGAAACCCAATTCAAAATGGCTTCAGCCAAAAAGGGGTTTTATTTGTAAGAATGCTAGAGCAGAGATCAGAAATCAAAGAAAACTCCAAGAACCAAGGCTTCAGGATTTAAAACGAAGATTCAATGCCCAGGTTTCTCCATGCCCATCCCTAACTGTACTCTGTCTTTGCTCATTCTCTTAACTGACAGCAGGCTCTCTCCAAATGGTGAGAGAGATGGCCTTCCAATGGCTTACTTTTACATCTTTTCTATACCCTGACCCCAGAAGCTAGGCTGGCTTCTATCACTCTAAACTGAGAATTGAAATGGATCCTAATTAGCACAGCCCAGGTCATACAACCAACCTTTGGACCAAATGCTGTGCATTTTGTGTATTAAGATGATACTATTAGACTACTATTAGTACTATGACCCAGGTCATAAGCTCGTCTCTAGCCAGGAATTGTGTGTGGAGGACACAGAAAAGTTACTCCAGGGAATAAATATTAGAAAAAAGGAACCAGGAAAATTTGCAAGGAAAACACAAACAGTGGCAACCACAGTTCATTGATATACTTCTTTGGTTATATTACCTCTGATGATATGAATTATTCTGATATGAATTATTCAACTCTCAAAAGCCCAAGAAACTTTACAGAAAATAAAATATATCATTGACATTTTAATCTTAATTTTTTCCGGAATTTGTAGACTTCTATACTGACATTTTTCTTTGCAACTTTTTTTTGCAGCTGTTTCATTTAGTTGTCATGCAATCTTGTTAAGTCTCAGCCTGGTCTGGGTTAAAGCACAGATAGGAAAGAACTAGGAAAAAAATGTAATGAAAGCTCCAGCATCCTGGTAATAAAATTATCTTTAAAATGATTTGGAAACCTAAGGCCCTGATCATTCAGACTTTACATCCCTTGGCACCATTACAAGCCAAAATGTGTTAACCTGACATTTTGATGTAGCTCTAGTTTGAGTAATTCATTTTCCTCCCTTAAATTCCCAGGAAGTTTAAGCTAGATAGAAGAGTCTTAGCCTTAAACTGAAATGTATGCTTGTCCTAAAGCTCAAAGAATTTGTTATTCTAAGTGTTCTTAAATCTGCCCAACATAACCATATGCCTTAAATTTTTTCTATTCTTTTAACATACTCATGGACAAAGGGGTGTTTTCTTTAAGCCTAAACTGAAAGGTATTCTAGATGTACATATTCTTTTCAACATGGTAGCAATCTTGAGTTCTTTCACATTTTTAACTTTTAAGAATTAGAGCTCATAGATTTTATTTGCTATGTGCTTTAGGCCAGGAAGCAGTGCCCATACGACTTCTCAGATGCACCCACAACTTAGGTCGAGTACATTTTGGACACGGTCCACCTTGAAGAGTCTTCAGTGAGCTCTAGTTCTGTGTGACCAGTTCTTCTGTAGACTGATAAGTCTGCATCAAGTCCTTTATGGAGACTTCCTGCCTCAAGAGCTGGCCTCTCAGATTATAACTACATACCCTCAAATAAGATAGATTCCTCTCAGGAAGGACCTAGCCAGCGTGATCCAGAAACCCCTACCATGCGGCCTTGGTTTTGACTCAATGCTAAATACTGCTAGATGACTCCTCTGGTATAGGCATAAAACTCTGAAAGGGTACGCAAGAAACTGATAACCTGCTTCCTCTGGGGAGGGGACCTGGGTGGCTGAAGGTGAGGATAGAGAAGACGCTTACTTTTCATTGTACAATCTTTGGTACCTTTGGAATTTTATAGCATATACAAATATTGCCTATTTAAAAAATAGGTAAAGTTTCATTTTAGGTTACGCAGATTTCCACCTGTAACAAGTAGCAGATGGCGCAAGATGAGAAACCATGTCGGTGTTTTTAGACCATCTATTTGTTCATCAGAACAAGCCCAATGTTAGTCAGACAGGGAGTCGCCCCCGCCCACAGTGGGAAGCCCTGCAGTTACAGGCAGAAGGTAAGGGGATATGAAGCTATGATAGGGAGAAGAATTAGGACCAATAATTCAATCTACCCAGTAGTTTGTAGTATGAAGGGCACTATAGTTCATATACCTATCACCAATTGAACATGCAGGGTTTTTACAGGTGTTCATTACTATGTCCTTTGCACGATAGATTGCTGGTTACTATTTCAAATTTAGTGTTTTGGTGTTGACAACTTTTAAAGCAGTTATTTTAACTGAATGTTCTTTTTTGTTTTAATTACCATACTTAACTCCTTAGATTATTCAAGGAACCATAAATTCAGCTCTTAAAGGGAATGTGGAAATTCCATCTTTTGGGGCCTTAGTTCTATAGACAATCTCTACTGCGGAGCAATCATCAATGAAGTGGTACTCAGCTACAGAGCTGTAGCCCCAGGTTCTGGGAGCGTGTGTTTGTAGCCCTCAGAACTGATGCTGACCTATCCCCAGTCACTCACAAGTCTACTTGGGCCAATTCTGAATACGTTGGTGGCTATTAAACACACAGACCCCACTACCATACTTTCAGCTGTTTCTTGAGGGAAAGCACGCCAGTAAATGGAAGCCAGGAAGGCAACTCAGTCATGATGTGTGGCATTGGACAAGTTAATCTCTTGTTTTTTCTCTGAAAAATGAGTGGGATTAGATCTTTATTCTATGTTAGAAATTTAGTTGTAAATAGAAACCCAATTCAAAATGGCTTCAGCCAAAAAGGGGTTTTATTTGTAAGAATGCTAGAGCAGAGATCAGAAATCAAAGAAAACTCCAAGAACCAAGGCTTCAGGATTTAAAACGAAGATTCAATGCCCAGGTTTCTCCATGCCCATCCCTAACTGTACTCTGTCTTTGCTCATTCTCTTAACTGACAGCAGGCTCTCTCCAAATGGTGAGAGAGATGGCCTTCCAATGGCTTACTTTTACATCTTTTCTATACCCTGACCCCAGAAGCTAGGCTGGCTTCTATCACTCTAAACTGAGAATTGAAATGGATCCTAATTAGCACAGCCCAGGTCATACAACCAACCTTTGGACCAAATGCTGTGCATTTTGTGTATTAAGATGATACTATTAGACTACTATTAGTACTATGACCCAGGTCATAAGCT